CAGAGAAGTTGTGGGTGTCCCATCCCTGGAACTGTTCAAGGCCAGGGTGGATGAGGCTTTGAACAACCTGATGTAGTGGAAGGTGTCCCTGCCCATGGCAGGGGAGTTGGAACTAGATGATCTTGAAGGTCCCTTCCAGCCCAAACCATTCTGTGATTCTATGATTCATTTCACAGGGGGCAGGCACGGGACCTGCCCGAATCCAAGCAATGCTTGGCTGGAGCAGAGAGAAGCCGGGGGAGCGGCAAAGAAAAAGCAAGGCAGTGTCTCTGGTGAGCAAACCAGGCTCAGTATTTTCTTTTCTGAGCAGTATTCTGCTGAGGGACACGGAAGCAAGCAATAGCTGTGCCAGGCGGGCACAGCCGTCCGACAAAGCAACTGCAGCAGGCTGCAGGACGGCGTGCGCAGGGGCTGAGCCTCCCCAGCGCCAGGCTGCGGACCAGAGCCCCGTCACAGACACGTCCGTGCACGCACACCCATCCCCGCAGCCGCAAAATGAAACTCAAACACGTTTGGGGTGAGAGGACCCAGAAATACCATCCTGGGATGCACTCGTGAGAAACGGACTCAGCCTGACGGGACAGGCATCTCCCCTGGCTTTTCCCTGCAGTTTCTACCAGAGGGCTGGGGGAAAACCAGCCAAGTTGTGCATAGAGAGGGAGGAATTTCTTTTAACTAGTCACGTGCTGGAGGACTGCGTAACATGCAAAAGGGTTAACTGGGTCTATTTATTTCAAAGCATTTAAAACTATTTTTAGCCTCTGAGGGCAGCTGACAGCAGTTCTTCAAGCGCCGAACGCTGGAATCTGCCTCTGCATTAGCAGCTGGCCTTGATTTTTTCCCCCCCTCTTCACAAAAGGGAGGATTAAAGAGCTTGAAAACATTTGTTTTGAGCTACACAGAAGGGCCAGACATCTATAAAGCCCTGTACTTGGTATACAAGCAAGCAGAGAGAGAGTGGGCTGCCAGGCACACTCGGGGCCGGGCATGAAGCCCATGGCCCCGAGCGACCATCCCCAAGCTGCCGGTCACCTCCATAATGGGAAGACACCTGCCGTGGCACTGACCCTGAGCACAAGGGACCCCATCGCATGGAGGAGATCCCGGGGTGTTAGCAGGATGACAGGAGCAGGGGTGACCTACCTGTTGCGTTGGAGAGTGCGAGGGACTCCATGGAGCCGCGGGGAGTCTGCTCGGTGGGCGTCAGGTCCTCTGTGAACTTGAGGGCGTTGATGGGGTGGCGGGTGCGGCACTGCGGCGTTGGCATCCCGCCTTCCTCTTCCTCTTCGTACTTAGGGACTTTGAGACTTCCTCTGGTCTCGGGGAAGCTCTGGTTGGACATGTCGCTGTAGCTCTCCTGCGAACGAAGCCTCCCCGAGTAGTAGTCCTCCCTGCAGTCCTGGATGAAGCTGCCGCCGTGGCCCTTCATCGCCAGCGAGGAGCTCCTCTTTGGGTTGCTGAAATGTTTCGCCCACAAATCCGGCTGCGAGCCTGGGACCTGGCTGGGGTTATAGGAGGTCCTTATGTTGCACTGGCTGAGAAGCTGCAAAGGGCTTTGGGACTGACTTTGCTCCATTTTGCTCCCGTAGTGATAGAGCTCATCTCGGCTCCTCCATACGTGCTCCCTGTTGAGGCTTGGCGTCTGGCTGGCCAGGCTCAGCAAATCCATCTGCAGCGAGAGTGGGTCCACGTCGGTGGAGAGGCGGTTGGAGGTGACCTGCAGCTGGTTGCAGGGGCTGCGCGCCCCCTCCTCGCCTTTCCCCTTGTTCTTGCCAATCTTGGCGCTGCGGCGGGACTCCTTGGCTCGGGCACTCTGGAAAGCTGAGTCGGAGGAGTCAGAGCCATTGGGGTCATCACCGACACTGCAGGCCCTGGAGCAGAAGATCTGCCCCTGCTTGGGCAGGAAGGGTCGTCCCAGCAGGGACTTCTTGCACTGCGCGCAGCAGAAGCAGGTCTCGGTGGCATGCCAGTGCTGGCCGTCGTACGTCATCTGGCCCTGGTCGATACCTTGGGGGGGAAGAGGCACAGCGTCAGAGCCAGCCGCGTACGTCACTTCGCACTGCACTTAAAACACACGTCCCCTGCAAGTGACACGCACCCAGGCTTGCTCTCCAGAGCCCTTCAGCAGAGTTTCTCCGACACATGAAGTTAAGCCCATTTCTAATTCCTTGCAGGCTGCAGGCCTTTGCTCACGAGTTACTCAATGTTGGGAAAGGCAGCGGAACTGAGCCTGGAGCTATTTCATATTAAACGGGGATATTTCCGATCATAAAGCAAAGGAATGCAAGAAGTTCTCCATAAAGTCCTTAGAAGTCGAAGCAATAATACGCTGCCTATTTAAAAAAACAAAAAGCC